CGTTATCTACAGTCTTATCCACTGCTTTCTGCAGATATTTCTGTATGCAGGGGAGTATGCAACAGGCTAAAAACAAGAAGATAATGAACACCATAAGAACAGCTGTCCCCACCTGGAAGAGGGTCTTTTGCCAGCCATTCATCCACCCAAACCATTTGTCCCATATGTCAGTGGCTCCCGAATTCTTCTTTAATTCGTCTGCAAGACTATCTAGCTTCTCTATAGCCATAGTCACCTTACCATTGGGCCCAGTGTTGTCTGGAATGTATGTGCAACATGTCATGGTTTCAGGGAGGATTTTACATACCCCCCCTTTCTCGGCTAGAATCATATCTAGGGCCATTCTGTTCTGAAATGTCATTTGGGTTGTGGCTTGTAACTGTTCTGCTAGGCCCTGTAGGGCATCCCTGGTATAATTGACAAAGCGCTGCTGATTATAATAGATATAGTTGATCCAATTGACATTTTTGTTAGCAGTTATCATTGGAATTAGGGATTCAAATCCTGCAGCTATTTCATCTCTTGCTTTAAATTCGTTGGGCACCCCCCTAGGCACACCTATGGCATCAATATATACATGGGGGTCGAAACTCCCTCGGATAGGAGCCTCTCGTTTGGTTCTAGAGTGTATATGTGTAAGATTTAAAGTGTTATGACTACCATCTGGAATAATGTGGATAGGCATTATGACTTTGGTTAGGGCACACTCCCCCCACCATTGCCCAACTAATTGGGATCTCAATTGTTTGTCACCACATAACCAATAGATATCACCGATTGTCTTTGTGTGATTCATTAGCAGTGATACAGGTGGACTATGGTAAGTTGAGCAGTATCCTGATGGGAATTTGCCCAGATACAAACCAGTGTTCTTAGGTATTGAATAGCATGTGTAATTACCTGGGTAGATGGTGACTCCATCAGGTGGTTTCACATGTCCATGGGTGATTGGGTAAACCTTCTTCCAGGATTCACATGTTGAGGAGTTAGTGATAGATTGTGCATACAAACTCAGTACACATGATTCTATTTCGGGGGGTAAACTTAGAGGTACTGTGCCCAGATGGGGTCTGGCACCTCCACATACATAACAATTAGTCTTATTGTGTGAGTTAGCGTTGTACCTCATCCATTCTAGCCACAAATTAGTGTCTGAAAACCCTGTTTCTACTGCCATGGTATCTTCAAAGGTGGGGTTAGCTATGGCCACCATGTCATGTAGGGTCTTGATATGTGGTTTCAATGGGTTAATGACCATATGTGTAGTTCCCACCCAGTCAGAAGAATTTAGCATATCTTGCAGGTAAAAGGTCCCCAATGCGTTATGTGAGCCGCCTCCCTTCCAGTACATTCCCATCACATACTCCCCTGCATCCCTTGGACTAGGGTGTTCTATATTCAAGGTGAGTTTAATGGGAGTTGACCCTATGGGTTTACTCAGGTTGACCCTATGGGTTTACTCAGGGTCATTCTAGAGAGTAAGGGTTTCCCATCTTTGTCAAGTTTGTCTAATGCTACCTGAGGTCTGTAGCCCCATGGTCTACCTGCGTTCCACCCGGCAGCTTTCCATGAACTACAATGGTGTCCCCAAACTCCTCCAGTCACACAAATGTATGGATCCTTCTTGTTAGGTATGTCCTTATATATAGCTGTATGTTGTGTTTGTGGGAATGTACAAGTGACTATGTCACAATAGTCAAAGGTATATGTAGCCACATCAGTATTAGAAGAATTGTACCAAAAAGTGTAAACATGATTATCTTTGGTTATGGCCACTTGTTGGGCCCAGGCAAGATGTAGCAGCATAAGAAAACACAAGACACATAATAAATTCATTTTTCAACAGGATCGGTCTCTTCTGGAGCAGGCACTTTTTTGCAATGTGAAGCGTGTATCCAAGAACTCTTCCCAGCTAGCTTAACTGACGTTGCTGTAATCAGGAGCACTTGGTAAGGACCATCAAATCTCGGTTCTAGCTTTCTGAGAAACTTCTTAACCATAACCCAGTCACCCGGAAGCAGCTTGTGTGTACCTGTATTCGACTCAGGATCTGGAATAGAAGAAAACACTTGGGCATGTATCTTGGTCAAGGCATGTGAGAGGGCTGTCACATAATCTACCATAGCATCTGACTGGATCTGAAGCTGTTGGGGAAAGTAACAACCTAACCTGGGGGCTGTACCAAACAGAATCTCATAAGGTGACAGGCTGTATTTTCCCCTAGGAGTGTACCTCACACTAAACAATGCTAATGGGAGACTCTCGGGCCAGGGCATGTTAGTCTCTTGTGACATTTTAAGCATTCTGGCTTTCAAAGTGCCATTCATGCGCTCTACCTTGCCACTACTCTGTGGGTGATATGGTGTATGGAATGCAAGGGTCACCCCCAGTGCTGACCAGACTTCCCGTGTTAGCGAGGCAGTAAAGGAGGTTCCCTGGTCACTTTCAATCACTTCTGGAACTCCATAGCGGCAAACAATTTCCGTCAGAAGGTACTTGGCTGTAGTTCTTGCGGTGAGGTTGGTCACTGGGAAGGCCTCTGGCCATCCTGAAAACATGTCCACTATAACCAATGCATATTCATAACGTCCGCTTTTTGGCATCTGAATGTGATCAATCTGAATCCTCTGAAAGGGGTATTGTGGCTTAGCTAGGTGGTTAGGTGCAGTCTTTATAACTTTCCCAGGGTTGCATTTAGCACATATAGTACAAGATTTACAGTAATTCTGTGTTAAAGTAGTGATGCCTGGTGCTTCAAAATACTTGTCAATTAGCGAGTTCATCAGGAGGTTTGACAGGTGGGCTGGCCCATGGGCCCATTGGACCACCGCTGGATACATGTTTCTGGGTAGGCAAAACTTGAGATTGATAGTGTAAACATCACCACGGAGTACAGCTCCTTTGTTCTTCCAACTTTGTTTCTCCTGTGGGGTAGCAGCAGCTTGTTGTTCCTTCAGGAGCCTGAGGTCAGTAGGCAATGTTTGCATAGTGTAGATAGGTAATGCATCTGTGGCCACTCTTCTGTCCACTTCCCATCCTTGCCGCGCTGCCTCTTTAGCTGCCTGATCAGCCAAGTGGTTTCCACGTGCTTCTTCTGTATCCAATTTTCCGTGGGCTTTTACTTTCAATACTGCCACTTCTGCTGGAAGTTCCAATGCATCCATTAGTTCTGCAATAGTTGTCCCATGTTTTACCGGAGTACCAGTAGCTGTAAGAAATCCTCTGGTCTTCCAAATTAAACCAAAGTCGTGTGCCACTCCCAGGGCATATCTTGAGTCCGTATAAATGTTGACACGTAGACCTTCAGACAGTTTGCAAGCCACGGTCAGAGCTGTTAACTCTGCTTCTTGGGCAGACTTGGTTGGTTGTAGAGCAGCTGCTTGTAATACTTGACATCCTGTGGTGACTGCATATCCAGTGTGATACTGTCCTTGTTCATCAGCAAATCTTGAGCCATCCACAAATAATGTTTGATCCGGATTGAGTAGTGCAGCTTCATAAACAGTTGGTAGGTGTGTAGTTTCCATTTTCATTTGTTCAAAACAGTCATGGGGGATATCAATGAAGTCACAATCCGCGATAAGTGGGTCCTCACAGGCCTCTGTGTGGTACCTGGGGTACCCTGTTGTGCAGTAATCAATGGTCTTTTTATTGATCCCTGCAGAAGTTAGTTGTGTTTGAGTCATTTGGTTCCATGTTCTGGCCATCGGGCCTAGGTCTTTCCATGAGGTGTTGAGGGATCTGGTGAGAGATATGTGTGGAATAGCTGTATCCCAGTGGTGATAGAGGTGTGTTACATTCTCTGGGAGGCAAACTAAGACAAGCATTGTACCTGTAGAGTCCCAGAATAAATCAGTCAGGGAAATCTGAATTTCTTTGAGCTGGAATAGTTCTTCTTCATAGTTCATGTCAGGGCTTGGTACATCCCTAAACCACAATGTGCAGTGGAGTAGGGCCTCTGGTTGTTCATCATGTGGAGGTGTAAGTATAGGCAACTGTAGGTCTGCTTGAACCTCTGGGTTAATATCCAGGCTGTACCAATGATAGACAATTCCCCCCTTGGGAAGTGGCAGAAGAGTGGCAGGATTCAGGGAAAGACATCTCTGAAGCGTAACATTGTCAGGTAGGAGCAAGGAAGTCTGTAGGCGAAGGTGGCGTTGGGAGGAAAGGTGCTTTGGTTGGGTTTGTTGCAGGATGGCAGTAATGTCATGAGGGGCCAACACTGTTAGGTGGTGGCCGAGAACAAAATCATTGGTCTTGTCCAGGAGGGTACTGGCGGCAAACACCGCCCGGAGGCAAGAGGGGCTACCTCTCGCAACAGGGTCAAGCATGCAGGAGAAATAGCCAATAGGGCGTTGTCTTGACCCATGTTTCTGAGTGAGAACTCCGGAAGCATGTCCTGACCTTTCAGAGACAAATAGATTGAAAGGAAGCTGGTAGTTGGGGAGGCCCAAGGCAGGTGCTGAGGCAATAGCTCTTTTCAAGTTGTGGAAGCAGGTGATAGTTTCTTCAGTAAGGTGGAAGGGCTCACTCCTGAGGGTATCATAGAGTGGTTGCATAAGTTTTGATGCTTCTGGGATCCAGGACCTGCAGTATGTTATAAGGCCCAAAAAAGCATGGAGAGTCTGATGTGTTGCAGGTAGAGGGAGTAGCAGAATGGCTTGCACACGTTGGGAAGTCAGATGTTTGGTGCCATGGGAAAGGCAGTGTCCCAAGAAGACCACAGATGGCCGGCACCATTGTAGTTTTGATTTTGAAGCTTTGCAACCTGCTGCAGCGAGGAAACACAGGAGGTCTTCTGAGTCACGCTCTGCAGTGAGCAAATCAGGAGCACAGAGAAGTAGATCATCAACATATTGAAGTAGAACAACATCCAGATGAGATTTCTGCCAGGGATCCAGAACAAGAGACATGGCATGAGCAAACTGTGTGGGAGAGTTCTGAGCACCCTGTGGCATAACAGTCCAGGTATATTGTTGCCCTTCATGTGTGAAAGCAAAAAGAAAACGTCAGGAAGGGTCAAGGGGAACACTGAAAAAGGCATTGGCTAAATCCACCACAGTGAATATAGTAGAAGTTGGTGGGACTTGGGACAAGAGGGTATGTGGATTTGGAACAATAGCAGTGTCCTTTATGGTGACTTCATTGACAGCACGAAGGTCCTGCACCATGCGATACTGGTCAGGCTGACCTTTAACAGTTCGCTTTTTGACAGGAAAAAGAGGTGTGTTGCAAGGAGATGTGCATTTGATGAGGGCACCTTTGGCAAGTAGGCTGTCAACTTGCTTGGTGATGGCTTCAGCTTGTGCTGGCTTCAGAGGATACTGTGGTCTACGGGGGGGTAGTGCCCCAGGCAGGAGCTGAACCAGGACCGGGGGTACATGTAAGCGGCCAATATCATCCGGGCCGGTAGACCAAAGTTCTTGGGGGACCCGATCCAGAGCGCGGGGGGTGTGTGTGACCCGTGCATTCCCTGTGTTGTCAGTTATGTTCAGCAGGATGGGGAGGGAACAGAGGGCAGAGGTATCTTTTTGTGATAGGGGGGTTGTCAACTCGACTTGGCCATCTGCAGTGAAAGTAATGGAAGCCTGAAGCCGAGAGAGAACATCGGCACCTAGGAGGTTAATGGGGCAGGTAGAGGAAACAACAAACCGGGAGAGGATGTGTGATCCTACGTGTAAGAGTTTAGTAAGGGGGTTACTGCGTGGTGTACCATCTACCCCAACACAGGAGACATCGGTGTCAGATAAAAAGGAAGGGTCTGGCAGGTCTTGTTCTCTAAGAACACTACGGGCTGCACCTGTGTCGACTAGAAAGGTGGTTGGGTGGCCCTCCACGGGGAGAACTACAGTAGCTAAAGGCCCTCCCCCATCCCCCGCAGACACTGCCATGGCAGGGGTTGCTGACACAGGCTTGCCGGTTACCTATTGCAATAAATCTAAATGGGCCTGGTCTGGTCCCTGGTACCGGCAGGAAGTGGAAGGGGGGTTAGCAGAATGCATGGGTGGGCGAGATGGATGGATAGCATGGCGGGGCTGTGGCAGACTATCTTGGAAATCATCGTTGTCATACCCTTCACCAGAGGGCGAAGAGTAAGCACGAGCATCTGATGTGGGCGGCCTGGCATGGGTGTACTCAGGAGGCGGAGGGGGTGGAGTAGGAGGAAGTTGGGGCAACTGTGGAAGGGGTAGGGCAGAGAGAGAACCTGTGGAAGGGAAGTTATAGCTGGTGGCATGGGGACCAGGGTACCGGGAAGTCTGCTGACGGAACACCCTAGGCTGTGGGCAATCTCTTCTAAAGTGTCCGGGTTGGTTACAATTAAAACAGGTCCTGATTGTTGTGATTGTTCGGTCTCTGGGAAAAGGAAGTGGTGCAGGCAGTGTCTGGGGTGGTTGGTGGTACTGTTGGAGGGGTAACTGAGGTGCTTGGTTAGAACCTGTGATAGGAGTGGAGGTAGTGTACATCAAAGGATTTGCTCTACGTGGTGTGGGTTGTAAAACTGTTTCCAAACCCTTGGCTACCAACAAGAGAGTGTCCAGAGGAATAATTCTATACTCAGGGCGAGCTAGGATTAACCCCTTACGAATATGTTCCTTGAGGCCTGCCACAAACGCTGCAGATAGCATCTGAGTGTGTGCTTTGTTATAGGTGCTGAACCCCAAATCTGAAAAAGTCTGAGTCAACCTAGAGTGGTACTTTTCAACGGTCTCAAGTTTATCCTGAAGAATATCATTTATGCAAGTAGCCTGATCAGCTAGTTTATCCTGCGCCCAGGCTCGAAGCTGTTCACAGAAAACTTCACCAGAACGAAAATCAGTATCCGAAGTAAGAGGAGCATCGCTAAAGCTCCGTTCCATGATTGGCCAGTATGCATCACCAGCCTTTATTTCACATAAGCTTATAAGATCCCGCCAAGCAGCGGAGTATGTTTTGCGGATCTGAGCCATCCGGCGGAAAAAGGGCATGGGGTGCTTCTCAGGATCAGGGAGTGAAGTCACAAGGGTAGCAGCTTGGGAAGGGTTAAAGGTAACATACATGGGTGGTGCACCATCCGCGCCATGGTTAATCTGGGTATACCCCTGGGGGATGGAGCGCCGTTGTGGTTGTCTGCTCCCCCCTAAGTGGGGTGAGCCCTGGTCCACAACAACGACCTCCTCGGGCACCACCGGGCCGCGGTGCGGGGTGGTCTCAGGGGTGGCCGTAATAGGGAGGCCAGCAGCGGGAGAGGTAGTTGGGTGGAAGCCCGAGGCCTGGGGGGAGGCACCCATCGCATAGGGCTGGTCCGATGTCACTGACACCTCGGACCCAACCACCATGATTGGGTAACTGGGACTGGCGGGAGGGGCATGAGGGACCAATGCCGTGGAGGGGGCTGTCATAGGGGCCGGATGGGGTGGGCGTGAGAGGTGGGTATTCAGGACGTGAGCAAGGGCAGTGATTGGATCGGAACGCTCGGGGACGTTAGCGGAAGACGAGGGAGGGGTCGGGGGTTCAGGGGGAGGAGGAGGAGGAGGAGGCAAATCAGTGGGAGGTGGAGTAGGGATCGCTGAATTAACCAGGGAAGTAACAGCAGAGAAGAGGGCGGAGATCGAACCAGATAGGTCATTGGTCACAGACGGGTCGGGAGTCACCGAGGGAGGAGGGGACAATGGGATAGAGGGGGCCGGGACTTCGGGAGGAGGTAACACTGGAGAAGGTTGGGTCAGGGCAGTGAGGGCAGAGAGTAAGGACGGCAAATCAGCCGAGGGAGGAGGGGACAATGGGGTAGATGGGGCCGGGACTTCGGGAGGAGGTAACACTGGAGAAGGGGCGGTAACGGGGGGTTGGGTCAGGGCAGTGAGGGCAGAGAGTAAGGACGGCAAATCAGCCGAGGGGGGAGGGGACAATGGGGTAGAGGGGGCCGGGACTTCGGGAGGAGGCAACACTGGAGAAGGGGCAGTAACGGGGGGTTGGGTCAGGGCACGCACTGTGTGGTTAGCGGGAGGGTTCTGGAGGGTAGAAGGGGCGTCTGAATGTAAGGGAGCAGGGGCTAGGGAGCTGGGGTTAACGGGCTGGGCAAGCACCTTCGAGAGGCTAGCGAGGAGGGAGGGGAGGTCTGGGTCTGGAGGTACGGGAGAAGGAGGCTCCGGGGGCAGACAGGGGTCCGGATCAGCGGAATGGGCAAGGGTCGAGGGACCGGACAAGGAGGGTGAGGGAACGGGTATCACTGAGGGTAGGGTACTCGATGGGGAAAGGGTGGATGGGGAGAAGGAGGAGGAGGAGGAGGAGGAAGCTTCGACAGGCAAAACGGGAATAGGTGGGGTAGAGTCTTGACGAGGAGCTGGAGTAAGCACAGGCACAGGGGGAGACAACAAGGGAGATGGGGGGGTTTCTACAGGCATGACGGAGGAGGAGGAGGAGGAGGAGGAGGCGGGGCTGCAGGAGGGCTGATGCAGGGGAGTGGGTGGGAGCGAGTGGAGTGGCATCGGGAAATAGTAAGCACCATCCGCGCCGAGCACGGGGCAAAGGGGAGTGGGAGCTGAAGGAACACCTCCGGGGGGTGTGGTCTTTGCTGTGACGGGGGAAGCAGGGCGGGAGGTTGAAGTTGCATTCTGGGCGCCATCATAGGGCGGTGGCCGTGGGACAATAGAAACAACATCATCATTGTTAGCATTCCTATGGTAAACATATACAATCTGTCCCTCAAACTCCAACTCTTCCTCGACCCATCCCTCTCGTTTCAACCCTCTAGCTACCCGATACCAAGCCTCTGCAACCTTAGTAAGTCCGTTATCCAACAACAAACCTTCCTTGTCTGTGAGCAATTTTCTCCAAAACTCAGGCTGTAACCTTCCACTAGGCAACATTTGGAAGCCACACACCTTGGCAATCTTTTTAAGTTTCAACATTGCATCCTCTCCTGCCCTTTCTTTTACAATATCACAAGCCAACAAGCCCTTAGCAGGTCTAGCATGTTCCTGCCCCATCTTATTTAAACAAAGCGTGTCACGTGGTGAAGACAGAAGAATGAGGAGGCACTGAGGGGAAAGGAAAAAAGAATGTCTACAGTGCTCGACTGCCACGAGAGCTTGAGCTCTGTGCGTCTTCCCCAAACGTAGACTAGTCACAGGGATCCGCCCACCCGGGGTGGTGGTCACGGACGGGAGCGAATGAGCGTGGGTGACTAACACAGCTCTGGGCAACAGGCACAGGAAAGATAAAGAACAAGGGAAAATATGAACGTGGCTGCGCTAATGAGAAGACATTTGCAAAAATCACAAACATATAAATGGGCATAAACTCCGGAATCCAGAACCAACCACACAACACACACACACACACCGAGGGTACCCACACTGTAACAACAATTAAACAAAAACCACAGGATGATAGAAAGTAAAATGGCCATGTACATGTTAACACCACTGGTACCAATACCCACCGTGTAACAATCCCCAGCTCTGTTATAACACAAGCATTAATGAAATCATGCAAGAATTGTACAAAATCCCAGCCCCACCGGCTGTAATGCGTTCCCTGCCCGCCAGGCAGTCAAGCTAACATAAAATCCCAGCCCCACCGGCTGTAATGCGTTCCCTGCCCGCTAGGCAGTCAAGCTAACATAAAATCCCAGCCCCACCGGCTGTAATGCGTTCCCTGCCCGCTAGGCAGTCAAGTTAACACAAAATCCCAGCCCCACCGGCTGTAATGCGTTCCCTGCCCGCTAGGCAGTCAAGCTAACATAAAATCCCAGCCCCACCGGCTGTAATGCGTTCCCTGCCCGCTAGGCAGTCAAGCTAACATAAAATCCCAGCCCCACCGGCTGTAATGCGTTCCCTGCCCGCTAGGCAGTCAAGCTAACATAAAATCCCAGCCCCACCGGCTGTAATGCGTTCCCTGCCCGCTAGGCAGTCAAGCTAACATAAAATCCCAGCCCCACCGGCTGTAATGCGTTCCCTGCCCGCTAGGCAGTCAAGCTAACATAAAATATAGGAAAAGGAACACACATACACATATTACT